GCTCTAGCTCAAGTCCCCTCGAAGCTGTCATCATGGCAGAATTGTAATGACACAATTGCAAACAATCCACAGTATGGGTCTTCCATTCCCCCTCCCCTCCTAGGCGGTGTATGACCCTGTGACATTAATCAAATAATATTATTATTATTATAATCAAGGGGGAAGCGCTAAACCCGGAGGATTATACAGCGCCTGGGGGGGATGTGGAAGGCAATCAGGCTTAATTCGGGGAACTGGAGCACAGATCCAATTCCCTAAATCAAGAGCCCCTCACCAACATCAAGGAACCTTCCTTGAGGGGAATCAAATAATAAATTCATCAATAATAAATTCATCCTCTGGCTCCTTTCTGTCTTTGTGAAAGGTCTGTATTGTTACTGTTACTTAACAGTAACAGCCAGGTTGATCAGGCCCTGATCCACCATGAGGCCTGGTTACAGACCGGGCTGTGGGGGTGTTGACCCCCGAAACCCTCTCCAGGTATACTCCAGGTATTATTGTGACCGCTAAAGAATTAACTTGTCTCATATGATTGAGATGAAACCAGCATATACAACCTTAGATAGAAACTTAAGTTGTTATTGGAGGGACGCTGACTGCAGTTTAGATCAGTGCAAATTATAAACTCAAGAGTTCAAAACAAATATTTATTTGCAAAAAAAAAAAAATTACAAAGGTAAGGCACAAAACCTCTACTGATTCCATATGCATATACATATCCTAAGATACATAAGTCAAGATAACACAAATTTTGAAAATGGTCAAGGTAGAGATGACAGTTTTCTGTTATATTTAGACACTGGTCTTATGTTTCTCCTGCCTGTCTCTGTTTATATCTTGTTTCATGCAGCGAATAATATTCTTAACCAACAAGAACTTCTGGAAGTTCGTCTGGCTCTTTTTTCCCTTCAATGACTTCAACGCTGCTAACTTCTTTTTGAAGACGGAGAGCACCACTCCAAGTATCTGTCGCATCAGTCTTGTGGGGCCTCGGGACACGGTGAAGCGAGTGGTTTTCATGATGAATACACTTAAGCACTATAATGTGATACTTTATTGACGTTTTGCCCACGCAGTGAGCTGTGGAAAAAGACACTTATGGACAGACTGTCTAGCTTCGATCAAGGATTGAATATCTCAGTGAGTTCTTACTTCCAGTGTTTTTAATGTGAAATTTTTAATATGATTACTGAAGCCAGGTCTCTAAATGTTGGGTTAAAATCAGTATAGAGACCAAGTTCTTGTCTCCATACTACAGAACAGATATAAATTCATTCAAGAACGCTCAGAGAAGAATGAAAAAGATAATCCATTGAATAAGAAATCTTCCTTACGAAGAAAGACTGAAATTCCTTAAATTACATTAGCTTGCAAGTCGAAGAATGAAGGGAGACATGATTGAAGTGTTGGATAAATATATGAGTGAGAGGGGTTGGATTTGAGTGGGACTTGCACATGAGTAAATAGAATTATCTAAGCTTAATTCTTGGGTAGCATTGAAAATTGGGTTGGACAAATATTCTGTTAGTGGAATGGACTGTGAAGGACCTGCCTAGTATGGGCCAACAGGCCTGCTGCAGTGTTCCTCCTTTCTTATGTTCCTATGTATTAACAAAGATATAAATTAGGTCCTGAGGATATCTTTCCAAGAAAGAACCCGAAAAAATGGATTCAAATTAGACAAGTTTAGATTTAGAACAGGCCTGCTGCAGTGTTCCTTCATTCTTATCTTCATATGTAAATTTTACACGAGTTCATTTACACTAAAAAACACTCACACTCACACGAGCTTTTAAATCTCTGCACAAAATTCAATTTAAACCAGCAAATAATAGAGCCTACTAGACTGGAGAATACACTAGACCTCATCTTCACTAACAATGATGATCTGATAAGAAATGTCACCATATCAAAAACAATATACTCAGATCACAACATAATTGAGGTTCAGACATGTATGCGTGGAGCCTCAGACCGACAAAATGAGACTAGTCACGAGGGAGCATTCACCAAATTCAACTTCAATAACAAAAACATAAAGTGGGACCAAGTAAACCAAGTCCTAACCGATATAAGCTGGGAAGATATACTAAGCAACACAGACCCAAACTTATGCCTAGAACAGATTAACTCGGTGGCACTCGATGTATGCACAAGGCTTATTCCTCTAAGAAAAAGGAGGAGTAGATGTAAAATAAAAAAGAGACAGGCGCTCCCTTTACAGGCGACGGAAAAGAATAACAGAGCGGCTAAAAGGGGTCAATATATCAGAAATGCGCAGGGAGACACTGGTCAGAGAAATAGCAAGCATCGAACTTAAGCTAAAAGAATCCTTTAGGAGTCAGGAATCGCGGGAAGAACTAAAAGCCATAAATGAATCGAAAGAAACCCAAAGTATTTCTTCTCCTATGCCAAAATCAAAATCGAGAACAACGTCCAGTATTGGGCCCCTACTTAAACAAGATGGGTCCTACACAGATGACAGCAAGGAAATGAGTGAGCTACTCAAGTCCCAATATGACTCAGTTTTTAGCAAGCCGCTAACCAGACTGAGAGTCGAAGATCAAAATGAATTTTTTATGAGAGAGCCACAAAATTTGATTAACACAAGCCTATCCGATGTTATCCTGACGCCAAATGACTTCGAACAGGCGATAAATGACATGCCCATGCACTCTGCCCCAGGGCCAGACTCATGGAACTCTGTGTTTTATCAAGAACTGCAAGAAGCCCCTATCACGAGCCTTTTCCATCCTATGGAGAGGGAGCATGGACACAGGGGGTCGTCCCTCAGTTACTAAAAACAACAGACATAGCCCCACTCCACAAAGGGGGCAGTAAAGCAACAGCAAAGAACTACAGACCAATAGCACTAACATCCCATATCATAAAAATCTTTGAAAGGGTCCTAAGAAGCAAGATCACCACCCATCTAGAAACCCATCAGTTTCACAACCCAGGGCAACATGGGTTTAGAACAGGTCGCTCCTGTCTGTCTCAACTACTGGATCACTACGACAAGGTCCTAAATGCACTAGAAGACAAAAAGAATGCAGATGTAATATATACAGACTTTGCAAAAGCCTTCGACAAGTGTGACCATGGCGTAATAGCACACAAAATGCGCGCTAAAGGAATAACAGGAAAAATTGGTCGATGGATCTATAATTTCCTCACTAACAGAACACAGAGAGTAGTCGTCAACAGAGTAAAGTCCGAGGCAGCTACGGTGAAAAGCTCTGTTCCACAAGGCACAGTACTAGCTCCCATCTTGTTCCTCATCCTCATATCCGACATAGACAAGGATGTCAGCCACAGCACCGTGTCTTCCTTTGCAGATGACACCCGAATCTGCATGACAGTGTCTTCCATTGCAGACACTGCAAGGCTCCAGGCGGACATCAACCAAATCTTTCAGTGGGCTGCAGAAAACAATATGAAGTTCAACGATGAGAAATTTCAATTACTCAGATATGGTAAACATGAGGAAATTAAATCTTCATCAGAGTACAAAACAAATTCTGGCCACAAAATAGAGCGAAACACCAACGTCAAAGACCTGGGAGTGATTATGTCGGAGGATCTCACCTTCAAGGACCATAACATTGTATCAATCGCATCTGCTAGAAAAATGACAGGATGGATAATGAGAACCTTCAAAACTAGGGAGGCCAAGCCCATGATGACACTCTTCAGGTCACTTGTTCTATCTAGGCTGGAATATTGCTGCACTCTAACAGCACCTTTCAAGGCAGGTGAAATTGCCGACCTAGAAAATGTACAGAGAACTTTCACGGCGCGCATAACGGAGATAAAACACCTCAATTACTGGGAGCGCTTGAGGTTTCTAAACCTGTATTCCCTGGAACGCAGGAGGGAGAGATACATGATTATATACACCTGGAAAATCCTAGACCTGGAGTTTACCTGGAGAGAGTTTCGGGGGTCAACGCCCCCGCGGCCCGGTCTGTGACCAGGCCTCCTGGTGGATCAGCGCCTGATCAACCAGGCTGTTGCTGCTGGCTGCACGCAAACCAACGTACGAGCCACAGCCCGGCTGATCAGGAACTGCCTTTAGGTGCTTGTCCAGTGCCAGCTTGAAGACTGCCAGGGGTCTGTTGGTAATCCCCCTTATGTGTGCTGGGAGGCAGTTGAACAGTCTCGGTCCCCTGACACTTATTGTATGGTCTCTTAACGTGCTAGTGACACCCCTGCTTTTCATTGGGGGGATGGTGCATCGTCTGCCAAGTCTTTTGCTTTCGTAGTGAGTGATTTTCGTGTGCAAGTTCGGTACTAGTCCCTCTAGGATTTTCCAGGTGTATATAATCATGTATCTCTCCCTCCTGCGTTCCAGGGAATACAGGTTTAGAAACCTCAAGCGCTCCCAGTAATTGAGGTGTTTTATCTCCGTTATGCGCGCCGTGAAAGTTCTCTGTACATTTTCTAGGTCGGCAATTTCACCTGCCTTGAAAGGTGCTGTTAGAGTGCAGCAATATTCCAGCCTAGATAGAACAAGTGACCTGAAGAGTGTCATCATGGGCTTGGCCTCCCTAGTTTTGAAGGTTCTCATTATCCATCCTGTCATTTTTCTAGCAGATGCGATTGATACAATGTTATGGTCCTTGAAGGTGAGATCCTCCGACATAATCACTCCCAGGTCTTTGACGTTGGTGTTTCGCTCTATTTTGTGGCCAGAATTTGTTTTGTACTCTGATGAAGATTTAATTTCCTCATGTTTACCATATCTGAGTAATTGAAATTTCTCATCGTTGAACTTCATATTGTTTTCTGCAGCCCACTGAAAGATTTGGTTGATGTCCGCCTGGAGCCTTGCAGTGTCTGCAATGGAAGACACTGTCATGCAGATTCGGGTGTCATCTGCAAAGGAAGTCACGGTGCTGTGGCTTCCTTTGCAGATGACACCCGAATCTGCATGACAGTGTCTTCCATTGCAGACACTGCAAGGCTCCAGGCGGACATCAACCAAATCTAGTACCGAACTTGCACACGAAAATCACTCACTACGAAAGCAAAAGACTTGGCAGACGATGCACCATCCCCCCAATGAAAAGCAGGGGTGTCACTAGCACGTTAAGAGACCATACAATAAGTGTCAGGGGACCGAGACTGTTCAACTGCCTCCCAGCACACATAAGGGGGATTACCAACAGACCCCTGGCAGTCTTCAAGCTGGCACTGGACAAGCACCTAAAGGCAGTTCCTGATCAGCCGGGCTGTGGCTCGTACGTTGGTCTGCGTGCAGCCAGCAGCAACAGCCTGGTTGATCAGGCGCTGATCCACCAGGAGGCCTGGTCACAGACCGGGCCGCGGGGGCGTTGACCCCCGAAACTCTCTCCAGGTAAACTCCAGGTAATAATGAAATATGAAACTGGTGTAGAAATACAAAAATAGAAAACTTTTATGGCAACAAAAAAACGAAAATGGCAGTGATATTTGGCAGAGTTAAAAGTCGACGTCTTTCTGATACACACAGGTAGGCTTATTAATGGAGACACAAAAAGTTCATTCATCCATTCTTATGTAATAAAAATACCCAGTTGATGCACGTGTTTAATTTTTCACACACAAAAATGTATCACTAAGGGGGATTACCAATAGACCCCTGGTTATCTTCAAGCAGGCACTGGACAAGCACCTAAAGTCGGTACCTGACCAGCTGGGCTTTGGTTCATATGCTGGATTGTGTGCAGCCAGCAGTAACAGCTTGGTTGATCAAGCCCTGATCCACTATGAGGCCTGGTCACAGACCAGGCCACAGGGGAGGTGACCCCTGGAACTCTCTCCAGATAAACTACAAGTATGTCTTTCTGGAAGCGTTTTGATTCTGGCATCTTGGTCATTCGACATTTGGAATGACTAGTGTCTCACCATCCTCTTGATTCCATGTTGTCTCTTTCTCCAGTTCTTGTTATCATATACATTTACCTCCAGTAGGCCTATTGTTTTGGTCTATTCAGCTTTTAAGGCTAACTGCATAAGATATTAGTTGTATGACTTGTTTATCACCCAATTCGCATCTTGATGGTGGATGTCAAAGGCTTACAAAGGCACATAATAGGGATCACAATTTCTCTCTCTCTGTACTCTGAAATTACAGTTTTGGCTGTGCTGTGTCACAGTGTACTCCTTAGCACTTTTCTAGTTTTATATACGACTGTATCACACCTCGGCACTTTCTGCACACAAATGCTAGTAGCAACTGTGGAAAATATAGTTTCTATTGTATCCCATTTTACACACGACTGTTTCATACCTCAGTACTTTCTTCACTTAAGTGGTAATGATGACTGTGGATTACGTAGTTGTTAATTTGTTCCATTTTGCACACGACTGTTTCATACCTCGGTACTTTCTTCACACAAGTAGCGGCTGTGGAAAGCATAGTTGCTGGCCTTGCTTGTAGCAGCGACAGTCACATAACCCGATGGGGTTGAAGCTTGACCACGGCGGCCTCTGATGAGAACCATGGCAATGATGGTAGTCACCACAACTACAGCCATGAGAGTCACCATCACGGCCAGAACAGAGAACTCGGAATCCTGTATGAGAAAAGCCCATAAGGTTGCATTATTTTATTAAAACCTGTGGTGTATTAATATATTTTTTATAAATCATCCATTAAGCCTTAATGGATGCTCTATAAAAAAATGTATCATTAATGATTCAGGAACACAAAAAATTATGTGAATATATAACATATTTATGAGACCAAAAAGACACAGTACTGTGACTGGAACAATACACAAATAACCAGCACATAGAAGAGAGAAGCTTACAACCGAAACATCATTGTCACCTTCTCTCTCCCATGTGAGGGTTATTTGTGTACAGAATATTTATACCTGATCAGAAAGGCTGGGGTCCCATTTATGTTGTGGTAGCCGCAATGATAATCGATGCATATTAGTACCGCTTCCCATACTGCCAGTGGGGATTTTCTCAGCATATGTCCTCTTGACCCGTGTCTCTTTATGTCCAGATTCAAAAGGTATAAAAATGCCATCAGCCTCGATCGTTTCTGATTTACGGAAATGATGGCCACGCCCAAATGTCTTGGAAATGTGATTAAAATTTTCAATCCATGGCGAGTCTTCCTTCGTCGTGGTGGGAAGGTGGTAGAAGTCACCTTGAGTGGACAAGTCTCTCTTGGTAATGCCTGCTGCTGCAGTCTCTTCTGAATTGACTGTATAAATGCAGTGTACAAACCACTGATGTCCATGGAATACCTAATGAAAAAATTTGTTAAATATTGTGTTTGTGGTTTATTAGGTATATATATAATCTCTGTCCACAGCAGGTTCTGAATTTGCACACTCAGTATCAAAGTTCACAGTACTTTTGCCACTCAACCAGATCCCACTCATCCACAAGGGTTCTTACAGGATAATTTTTACAACCAGCACTTCTGTGACAAGGTTGTATCAGGAGTCAACAACTGTGACCCCTGTCGTCTCTTCCACGCCCCTGCAGCTTTCCTGGTACATCGGTTTTCATTATCACTTTCTCATGCATGTATCCATGCATGAGAATGCATGGATGCATGCATTCCCATGTCTTGCACTATGATAAAACTTGATATAGAAACTGTCACAACAAAGACTTATTCAGCATCTATATTTTTACTTCATCATTGTCGATGGCAGTACAGTTTTATATCCATTATAAAAATGTGATAAATGAAGTATAAACCAACCTGGAAGAGCGGTGAGGAGTCAAGAGAGAAGCCATCAGCATCAGGCTGCTGCTGGAGAACCACAACATCGGGATGTGGGTCGTGATCAGCCAGGTGAGCGTTGAACTTCTCTTCTTTGTAATATAGTTGAACACTCGCTGGTGCCTCACGATCCTTGAGAATACATCATTTTCATCCTTATTAGTATTACTGTAGCCATGCAATGGAAATTCAATGATGTTTTATACAGAAGTATTTATTTTTATGACCTTTTGGTTTTCACTTTTATTTATATTCTTTGAAGCTGCACCATGGGAAAAATATCATGAAAGGTTTTTCACCACCTAGATGGTACAGTGGACCCCCGCATAGCGAACGCCTTGCATAGCGAACAATCCGCATAGCGAACGCTTTGTTCGCTAAAATTTTGCCCCGCATAGTGGACAAAAACCCGCTCAGCGACCTTCGTCCGAGACGCGTCCAATGTGCGCCCTCAGCCAGCCTCACATGTGCCGCCCGTCCCATTGTTTACCAGCCAGCCTCCGTGGTAACATTCAAGCATACACTCGGAATATTTCGTATTATTACAGTGTTTTCGGTGCTGTTTGTGGAAAATAAGTGACCATGGGCCCCAAGAAAGCTTCTAGTGCCAACCCTACACCTCAAAGGGTAAGAATACCCATTGAAATGAAGAAAGAGATCATTGATAAGTATGAAAGTGGAGTACGTATCACCGACCTGGTCAGGTTGTACAAGAAACCAAAATCAACCATCGCTTCTATTGTGGGCAAGAAAACGGCAATCAAGGAAGCTGTTGTTGCCAAAGGTTTAACTGTGTTTTCGAAACAAAGATCGCAAGTGATGGAAGATGTTGAGAGACTCTTATTGGTGTGGATAAATGAAAAACAGCTAGCAGGAGATAGCGTCTCTCAAGCGATCATATGTGAAAAGGCTAGGAAGTTGCATGACGATTTAATTAAAAAAATGCCTGCAACTAGTGATGATGTGAGTGAATTTAAGGCCAGCAAAGGTTGGTTTGAGAGATTTAAGAAGCGTAGTTGGCATCCATAGTGTGATACGGCATGGTGAGGCTGCCAGTTCGGACCACAAAGCGGCTGAAAAATATGTGCATGAATTCAAGGAGTACATAGAAACTGAAGGACTGGAACCTGAACAAGTGTTTAATTGTGATGAAACAGGCCTGTTCTGGAAGAAAATGCCAAGCAGGACCTACATTACTCAGGAGGAAAAGGCACTCCCAGGACATAAGCCTATGAAAGACAGGCTTACTTTGTTGATGTGTGCCAATGCTAGTGGTGATTGCAAAGTTAAGCCTTTATTAGTGTATCACTCTGAAACTCCCAGAGCGTTCAGGCAAAAGAATGTCCTCAAGGATAATTTTGTGTGTGCTGTGGAGGGCAAACAGTAAGGCATGGGTCACTAGGGAATTTTTCTATAACTGGTTACACCATGCATTTGCCCCCAATGTGAAAGATTACCTAACTGAAAAGAAATTAGACCTTAAGTGCCTCCTGGTGTTAGACAATGCCCCTGGTCATCCTACAGACGTGGCAGAGCGACTTTATGGGGACATGAGCTTCATTAAGGTGAAGTTTTTGCCTCCTAATACCACTCCTCTCCTGCAGCCCATGGACCAGCAGGTCATTTCCAACTTCAAGAAACTGTACACAAAAGCTCTGTTTCAAAAGTGCTTTGAAGTGACCACAGACACTCGATTGACTCTAAAAGAGTTTTGGAAGGATCACTTTAATATCCTCAATTGTGTAAACCTTATAGGTAAGGCTTGGGAGGGAGTGACTAAGAGAACCTTGAACTCTGCTTGGAAGAAACTGTGGCCAGAATGTGTAGACAAAAGGGGTTTTGAAGGGTTTGAGGCTAACCCTGAGAGGAGTAGTATACCAGTTGAGGAATCAATTGTGGAATTGGGGAAGTCCTTGGGGTTGGAGGTTAGTGGGGAGGATGTGGAAGAGTTGGTGGAGGAGGACAATGAAGAACTAACCACTGATGAGCTGATAGATCAACTTCAAGAGCAAGAGGCCAGACCTGGGGAAACTGGTTCAAAGGAGGGGAGAGAGAAATTGAAGGAATTGCCTACTTCAAAGATTAAGGAAATGTGTGCAAAATGGCTTGAAGTGCAAACCTTTTTTGATGAAAATCACCCTCACACAGCTATTGCAAGCCGTGCTGGTGACTGTTACAATGACACTGTTGTGAACCACTTTAGACAAATCATAAAGGAACGAGAGGTACAGGCCACTATGGACAGATATGTTGTGCGAAAGAAGTCCAGTGACTCTGAAGCTGGTCCTAGTGGCATTAAAAGAAGAAGGGAAGTAACCCCAGAAAAGGACTTGCTACCTCAAGTCCTAATGGAAGGGGATTCCCCTTCTAAACACTAACACTCTCTCTCCCCTCCTCCCATCCCATCAATCATCACCAGATCTTCAATAAAAGTAAGTGTCATGTAATTGTGCATGCCTTTTTCAGTTTGTGTGTACTAAAATTAACATTTTTTTGTGGTAAAAAAATTTTTTTTTCGTACTTTTGGGTGTCTTGCACGGATTAATTTTATTTCCATTATTTCTTATGGGGAAAATTAATTCGCATAGCGAACATTTCGCATAACGACCAGCCCTCTTGCACGGATTAAGTTCGCTATGCGGGGGTCCACTGTATTTGAATTACCATTTACTGGTTAAGCCATTGTGTACTTGGAGAATAGGAGGCAATGAGGTTCTATAAGGCTAAGGCTCTAGCTCTTACCCTAAAGAAACCTTGACCAGCGTGAAGGCACTTCACCCCACCATCAATCCCGTGAAGGGCTTGTGGGTTGAGCAATTTCACTAGTGGACGAGCAATTTACAAGGTTTTAATTAGGTTTTAACAAGGATGTTGATTTGTCTAGGAGATTTAAAAAATGATTCGAGAAAATTAAATGGAAAAGAAAAAGTTCTGAGCATCATGCTGGTAAAAGTTTGGAGCCATGTAGAAAATTCTAGAATATTATCACAATGATGGTCATGTAACTTTACAATGATCTTATATTACAGATCAAAGTAACATTTTCATTATATTATTTTGCAAAGTTGCTCTTGTATTTATAGTCATGTTCTTAAAAAACTTAGGACTAATTCTCATGCTGGAGATGGCACTTAGACAACAATTTGATGTATCTCAGACCCAAAATGTCATTGAGTTTTATCTCCTGTTTGTGGGTCAGTTTTAAACAATTCCAACCATGGTATTGTGACTTATTTCCCATCCAGAAGAGTCTTAAAGCTCCGTACGTGACGATTTCTCTAGCAATAATTTCAAAGCTGATTCATCGCTTACTAACAATAATCTTAAAGTTGTGGAGGAGGTTAGCAGAGTCTGCCACACAGCCATACTCATCTGTGTCTGGGTTATACTTGGGAACATAACCGTCAACACCAGTACACAAGAAGACCTTCTCCAGAGTAATGTGGAATCCTGCTCCCAATGCTTGCACTGGGGCAATCATCACTCTCCCGTAGATCCTGTCTCCTGTCAGAGAGATAAAGTTGGTTTTACTGGCAATCCTTCATAGGACTTTAAACACAGTACATTAGGAAAACTAAAATGTAATGAAATACTCATTTGTACTTCATGTTATAATTTGTTTACTGTAACTTTTACCACTGAATATATCATTGCTTAGCTAATCTTAAGTTAATTTTAAGCCTGCCCACAATGCTCTGCATACAAGGGGCTTTTGGCATGTACACTCAACCACTGTATTTCTTTGTACAACTATGTATCATGTCCAAATAATAATAAATAAATAAATAAATAAGTAAATAAATAAATGTGTCAATGCTCCTAAAATACATCTAGTTGACTATAATGCTGAAAAATGAAAGCCTTCAACTGACCAGGATAAAAGGAGACAGACTGAGTGTCGAAGTCTGATGTTAGGTTGGAGAGCCAGAGGTTCCTCTGACTGGTGAGGTGGAAGAGTGTGTTGAGGGTAAACTGTTCTGGTACAGGATCTGACACTTGCTGAAAGCGCACCTGCAAGACAAGCAGTTACTGCTGTGGCTAAGCTCTTGGAACCTGGATATGGCAAAATAGGAATTAAGGTTAGATAAGATTCATCAGGAAACAGGACAACACTGTTTTCTGATGCAGATCTTAGTCATATGATGACAAGCAGTTACTCCTGATGGTTAGTTTCTGGAATCTGAACATAGTTAAGCAGGAACTCAGGTTAGGTAAGATTCATTAGGAAACAAAACAAGTGCTGCCTGATGTGGGGTCTTAGTTACATGATGACTCGCAGGTGGGGCCTTTTGGTCATCTGACCGAGGCCTTCCACTGGCTTACCCATTCATCTCTTTTAGAAATTAATATTGTTATACAGGAACTCAGGTGATCATGGAATCATCTAGAAAAATCATAGGTCCATTTACAGAAAAAAAGTTAGCTATAATGTAAATTTTTTATATGCCAAGCTTCAAATTTACAGTAAATTTATTCTAGGAAACTAACTTAACCTTGCTGTTATTTACATAAAATAAAATGGCATAATTTACTTGACCTATCTAAGAATTTGTATAATTATAGCAAACCCTTTTTCTGCGAGTGGAAAGTCTACCTGGAGGTCATTCAATAAGTGTCAGGGACCCAAGACTGTTCAAATGCATCCCAGCATACATAAGGTAATTACCAATAGACCCCTGACTGTCTCCCAAGAAGCTCATTGCTAGTAATCCCTTCCTTAAATCTCTTGTTAGAGCAACTGCTCAAGAAGAAATTTCTCACCTAGCTGGTAGTAATAAGTTATCACAAGTTATATACACTGATGGATCTAAACAGGAGTCTTCTGGCAGGGCTGCATCTGCTCTTGTTGCCACCTCCCTAGTTAAGAACGATAATAAATTTGTTGAGTTTGGCATAAGAATTAACAACTGGGCGTCTACACTGCAAACTGAATTGTTTGCAATCCTAATGGCGCTAAAGCTAACCTATGACACTGAGCTTGACTCCATCATCATTACTGATTCTATGTCATCATTGAAGGCTCTTGACTCGTATAATGACTCCAACAACATGCTCATTGGAGAAGCCAGGTATAGATACTCAAAAATTAGGGACAAAGGAATTAATGTACAATTGCTATGGATCCTATCACACATTGGATTACTCCTTCATGATAAAGTTGATATGTTAGCCAAGAAGAGTATCCAGAAGGAGAATGTAGAATATAACTTTGGTATAACTGTGTCTAGCATTAGGAATAATATTAGGAGAGAAGTAAATAATGAAAATGATTGTTATAGGAATGCAATTAGAAGCCTGAGTAGATCTATAACCCACTATGATAACATGAACGTAGATAAGTATGTTTATGGAGCAACGTGCAATGTGAACAGACTGACTGATGTTGTAGTGGCCAGGCTTAGGCTTGGTTACAAGTACTTCTGGTAGTTTGGGAGACACACAGATGATGATCAAACTAAATGTAAATTATGTGATCAGGCATATGGTCACTGTCTTGAACACTATGTGCTTAATTGTCCACTTATTGAGGAATACAGAGACAGACAATATAATAACCTATGTGACATGTCAAGATATCTTATTAATGAAAATAAGATACCAGATATACTAAGCAAATTTCCTAAATTTGCTTAGTAAATTTCCTAAATTTGCTTGTAACAGATAAGTGAACTATAGATATGTATGTAGATATAAATGTATGTAGATATAAACTATAGATATGTATGTAGATATAAATCCATATGTATTCCTGTTAACCCTTTGGGGCCTAGTTCCTAGGCCTTTTGTGTATCCATATGCTCTCGCGCTACCATCCACAGGATGGATATGGGGTGCACAATAAACTAGCCACTTCGGTGGCAAAATCTAAATCTAATCTAAATCTACCCTGACTGTCTTCAAGAGGGAATTGGATAGGAACCAAAAGTCAGTACCTGAACAGCCAAGCTGTGATTTGTACATCAGTTTGTATTTGGCCAGCAGTAACAGCCTGGTTGATCAGGTCCTGATCCACCGTGGGGCCTGGTCATGGACCGAGCTGCTAGGGCATTGACCCCTGGAATACTCTCCAGGTATCGCTGTTTTATTTTACCTTGAGGTCAAAAGAGATGAGGTTCCCAGGGTTGCAGACAAGGGGTAGGGCGTACACCTGGTCCTCAGTCACAGTGCACGGCAGGAGGTGTACCACATAAGACCCGCTGTAGTCCCGAACCTGAAGGTGTGCACAATGTCCTTATTATTTTATGTATTAGCTTTAACCAGAAGAAACTAAGTAATATTTCTCCTAACAAAATTTGTTAGGAGGTTTAAAGTCAGTGGCTTACATATAAATTATTCTTGAAATATTTACAGAATAATGAGGACATCATAAATTAGAAGAAAACCACTATTAAGAAAATCTAAAGAACAGAAGTTAGGTAAATGTCCGATAGAGGTTCGAACTTTGGTAAGAGTGTTAGTAAGACAGACAAAATGTTATGAGGATCAGACGAAGGATTGAGCCTCCAACTCTCCTCATGCTAAATGGCTCAAATGAGTTTAGCAGTTTGCATAATGTATTAACTCTTTTTATTGTTCAACATAACTCCCACTGCATTAACCAAGTGGGTTCAGCTCTTGTTTCTTATAATAATCAACATAATCCTTTAAAGAGGGTGATACAAGGCCAGTGAAGGGCTGTGGATCCATGGAAATAAAGCTACCTTCACGGGTCCTAGAACACAGATATGCACACAAGAGGGAGGACACCAAGAATGGTAATAATGGTAGAATTACCGACAAACTGTTAGGTAAAAGGACACAGACGCAACTAATGTGACATTGTATTGTGGCAACATTTCGTTCTCTCATTGGGCAGCGGTACTGACGACCCTACCCATCTGTTGGGCATTCCCACTTGTAATGCAGCTCATCTGAAAATCCATCAAGTGAGTATGTTGCAGATTTTGTGTTGGAGCCTTTGGATGATATCATGGGCATCAAGGAGCTCCACGGCTCCTTGCATCATATGGAGTGACCAAGGACCCAAACATATCCAATAAAAATGTCCTTTCATCCATATTGCCAGCCTCATTATACTTTTCACTTTCAGGTTGTGATAAAGGTGAACCTTAGGTAGCTTTAAAAGCAGGTTGAACAACTAATATGATTTGAGAAGTGGGCCAGTAGGCCTACTGCAGTGCTCTCTTATTCCCATGTACTTGCAGATCCCTTTAGATATAACCAATTTACTCATGTACTCTACAAATTTGAAAAATCTCAATTGCTGAGCCAAACATTGTCTTAAAGTGTTTAATCTGATTATTTGTGTCTTTTATTAAATCCCACTTACTGCCAAGTCTGAGACAAACTGCCAGTGTTGTTCTGGATGGGTGTAGGTGGGCTGAGAGGTGAGTAGCTGCAGGGTGAAGGTCAGGTCAGGGTGGTCATCAGAGGTCACACTACTGCGGAAGTCAGAGGCTGTGTGCTCCTCCAGGAAAACTCCGAGGAACCTGCAGTGGTAACACCTCTTAACAGTGGAAAAAACACACTTTGCAGAATAAGAATTTTTGGGGAAGACAAGGTTTTTCACTCAGTGCAGAGATTTATCATCACATAACTTGAAAAAGTTCTAAACAGAGTGAAACTTTGTATCAAGGAAAGCTTCTTTTCCAAAGTGTGTCCAAAACATATTACATAACCAAGGTCTTTGCCTCGTAAGGAATTACCTTCGTAAAACATCTCAAATAACTATCTTCCTGGCAAATATTTTTTTGTGTATTTTATTTCATTGTGCCCTATGATCTATACAGGTTTATACTAATGATGATGATGATGATGATGATGATAATAATAATAATAATAATAATAATAATAATAATAATTTTTTATTATCACACTGGCCGATTCCCACCAAGGCAGGGTGGCCCGAAAAAGAAAAACTTTCACCATCATTCACTCCATCACTGTCTTGCCAGAAGGGTGCTTTACACTACAGTTTTTAAACTGCAACATTAACACCCCTATATATATTCAAGCTTAACAATTATTGTCCCATCAAAGGGAGTGTTTTGATGCTGGAGAAAGGGCTCTTGATCCAAGGAATTTGAGCAACTCTCCCCTTCCTTGGATTGAACCTGATTACAGGTTTACATATAAAGCTAAAAATTTGCTAGTTTCTTAACCAGGGACATGACTGACATGGATCCCCCCTAACTCATCTTACCCTTGTGTTGATAGATCCTGTTCATACCTACTCCTGAAGCTGCGTGTGATGCAAAATATAGGGATTAAGTAGGCCAATTCCCCTTAAATCAACATAAACTGATGTAATATAATAATAATAATATTTTTATTTACTACAAGTACATGTAGTACATGGTATACAGACCATAGCTGACATTAATGACATACTACTATATAGAAAGCCCCTTGTTATGCTCAGCATTTCGGGCAAATTAGGTCAGTGTCCCAGGATACAACCCACACCAGTTGACTAACACCCAGGTACCCATTTTACTGATGGGGAACATAGATGCTGGTGGAAAGAAACACGCCTAATGTTTCTACTCTGGCTGGTAATCGAACCCAGGCCCTCGCCGTGTGAAGCGAGAGCTTTAGCCACCAGGCCACCAAACTTGCTTATTCTAACTGCATTTGATGCGAAAATTGAGCAAAATTTTAATATTTGATATGATGTGAAAACCCCTGATATTTTTCAAAATTTCACTTTTTTTTTCACGGATTCCAAGGTGGTCATCTTCGTTTACCTAACCCAAGGGCTTGGAGCTTACCTGGGTTGGGTGCGGCAGGTGACCACAAGCCGGCCGTCTTGTGCTAGCTTCATGGAGGTTGGGTAAAGGACACCAGCTAGTTCACTCTCCACAGTGGCCCTGATGCCTTGGTGCCACAAGATGGCCGTGTCGTAGACAAAGCTCAAGCTGCAGGGGCAGGAGAGGTAGTAGTCACTTGTCTGTGTAAGTGTGTAAGTAAAAAAAAGCACGAGTATGGTAACTTTATTTAGAGACGATGTTTCACCTGGACACCAAGCTTTATAATATCTTAATAAAGCTTGATGTCCAAGCCTCCCCATCCACTTATCTGTTTTTTTTTTTTTCAACAAACCGGCCGTATTCCACCAAGGCAGGGTGGCCCAAAAAGAAAAACGAAAGTTTCTCTTTTTAAATTTAGTAATTTATATGGGTGAAGGGGTTACTAGCCCTTTGCTCCCGGCATTTTAGTCACCTTTTACAACACGCATGGCTTACGGAGGAAGAATTCTGTTCCGCTTCCTTATGGAGATAAGAGGAAATAAACAAGAACAAGAGCTAGAAAGAAAATAGCAGAAAACCCAGAGGGGTGTGTATATATATGCTTGTACATGTATGTGTAGTGCGACCTAAGTGTAAGTAGAAGTAGCAAGACTTACCTGAAATCTTGCATGTTTATGAGACAGAAAAAAGGACACCAGCAATCCTACCATCATGTAAAACAATTACAGGCTTTCGTTTTACTCACTTGGCAGGACGGTAGTACCTCCCTGGGCGGTTGCTGTCTACCAACCTACTACCTAGAAGTTATCTGTCTATATATACAATGGAACCTCAAAAATCGAACGTATCACATATCGAACGTTTCAAAAATAGGACCATTTTTTCGGACAAACTATGTCCCTATTATTGAACGCGCCCCTATTTTCAGACCGCCGGGTACGGGACCTGTCTGCCGCCCGCTCAGTCCGCGTCCCCACGCAGGCGCCGTGAGCAGTCTAGCTTTGTTTATGCTTGAGTGAACACTAACCTGCGCTCTTATTCATGCATTTTATTATTATTTCGTTGTGTTTAGTGCTTGTGGGACTGTGAAATAAGCTGCCATGGGCCCAAAGAAACTTGCTAGTGGTACCCCTGTAGTAAAGAAAGTGAGAAACACCATAGATGTGAAGAAGGAAATAATACAGAAGTATGAGAGTGGTGTGAGACTTGTTGAGCTTACCAGGATGTATGGGAAAAACAAGTCGACCATCGGTTCTATCCTGTCAAAGAAAGAACAAATCAAGGAAGCTGATGTTGCAAAAGGTGTTAATATAGGGAGTGGATGAGGTGCCTTCTTCAAAGATTAAGATCTGTGCCAAGTGGAATGATGTTCAAATGTTTGTGCAGAAGTACCACCCTGAGCAAGCTGAAACAAGCCATCTTTGCAACAAGTTCAGTGACAGAACCATGTCCCATTTTAGGGAAATCTTAAAGAGGCGCCAGAAACAGAGGACTGTGGACAGTTATTTTGTGAGATAGGGGTCCAGTGACTCTCAAGCTAGCCCTAGTAGCATTGAAAGACAGAGAAGGGAAGTAACCCCAGAGAGGGCTTTACCTGAAGTCCTCATGGAGAGGGATTCTCCTTCCAAACACTAACCCCAACTCCCTCTCTCCTCCTCCCTATCTTCCAGATGCCATCACCAATCTTCAATAAAGTAAGTAAAAATGTTATTTTATATGTATTACTATACATAATTAAAAACTATAGTATTTGTTGTATGTAAAACTGTAATTAATCTCTATAAAATGTATTTTTTGTGTGAATATTTTTGGGTTTCTGGAACGGATTAATTGTATTTCCATTATTTCTTATGGGAAATATTGCTTCGAATTTCAGACTTTTCAAATTTAGAACTAGCTCCTGGAACGTATTAAGTTCGATTTTTGAGGTTCCACTGTATTATTAAAATTAGACTCAAGGCCTAGCAGCTATGAGGACCTTAATTACATCCTTATTTGTATAATGAATAATTTCCCTTCTTTCTCTTTTTGGTTCAATTACTCAGCTATGAACAGTAGAACATATTCACCGAAGCTGTGTACTGAGGTCTGTGTGCTGCCAGCCTCCTGCAGCCATGGGAGAGTAGGAGACACAGGACACATAGAGAGGAACTTGGATGCTGACGAAGCTCTGTACAGCATCCAGGACCTCCCCATCAGCAGTTACCTCACCTCCACACTGTGTCACCAGCTCAGACATAGTGTAGTGACCCACCCACTTCCACATGCAAGACTCCACTGCCAGCGCTCGGTAAAACCTGAACAGGAGAACAAAAAGGCATTTAAACTCAGAGCAAATTTTATTTTCTTCTTCAACTCTAAAGTACAGAATAATAATAATGATAACCTTATTTCTACAAGTACATGTACAAGTTATACAGACCTGGATGACATCAGTGATATACTATATAGAAAGCCCCTTGTTATGCAAAGCATTTCAGGCAAATTAGGTTAATTTTGTCCCCAAGATGTGACCCACACCAGTTGGCTAACACTCAGCTACCTATTTTACTTCTAGGTGAACATGGACAGCAGGTGTTTTAAGGAAACACGTCCTAATGTTTCCACCCGTACCAGGAATCAAACCATGGACCTCAGTGTGTGAGCTGAATGTGCTACCAACCACTACTATGACCATATAATATTAAGAAAAGCACCCACCTGAGTGTAGGGAGGGAACGTAGAGAGGAAGAGTGCTGGTAGGGCTCCAGCTCTTCAGCCCCGTCGGATCTTCTTGTCTGATTGGTGAGAAACCCATATTTTGTCCTCACCTGCTTGGCAGAAAAAATACATCTCAATTAGGAATTCCTTTTTGAAAGACATAGGCATTATAATGCAACCACAGCCAATGCAGTGGAGGACAATATATTATGTAAATAGTTTATAATGAATGAAATATGATGTAATGAAGAGATAACATTCTCATTAATAAAATATCATCAATATGTACAGTCCAATTTCTGAGAAGTCATTGTGTGTGTGTATACACTGATAGTAATGCATACTTAAGATATGTATACTGAGTATGCAGAGTAATAGTTAATTCTTATTTTGTATATTATTTTTGATGTTAAAGTAGAGTTTGAATGCTGACTCCCTAACGCTTGTGTAGTCAGTAAGTCTTAACCCAAACATGCTAAAATACCAACATAGTAATAATAATAATAATAATAATAATAATAATAATAATAATAATAATAATCATGAACATTACCTCATGAAAATCAAGCAGGTTGGAACATCTGTGGTTGCCAATACGGATACCATCCCTGGAAAGTGTAAGCCTGAAGCTGTTGAGGGGACGAGTGGATAGTACAGGGATCATCCCATCCCTGTGTGGGATGACGACCTCCACACGCACCATGTTGGGGTGGCTGGGATCTCCAGTGCCTGCAAGAGAGCAACATGGGTAAGCACACCAGGCATGGGATTACAAATCCTGCAAGCACATCTCAGTGTGTACACCTGGAGTATATCTGGAGGGGTGTTCTGGGGGGCCAACACCCCCATGGCCCAGTTCATGATCAAGCTTCACAATAGATCAGGGCTTGATCAACCAGCCTACTAGATATATCCATACATATAAGGTAATATCAGTAATTCAAAGTCACATCTAAGCTGCACTGTCATTTTTTGGGGGGGACTGAATTCATGTCTGCAGAAATAACTCATTATGACTGTAATGAGATATAAACATGTAAATGGATTATTACCCTTGTTTAACTGTCAAAACTTTGCACCCCAATCCCTGGAGCCATTATGTGCCTCTGTAATCTTTTGACTACCACCCACAGGATGGGTTGCAACCTTCCAAGGAATATATATGTACTCACTATAAGCAGTGTCCAGAAACAAAAATAAAAAACAAAAAAGTGTAGAAGTTTGAATAAATAAACAAACACAAAAGGGATGATGGAATAGGCACTTCTGTGTACTCTCATTTTTATTGTGACATAACAATAAAAAATAAGGCAATAACTCACCAGTGTAGTGAAGCTTGGCAGTAAAGGGATCTGCTCCAAAGGTGCCCACAGGACTCGGTGGGCAGAAACCCGCATCCCTGCTGGCCACCGTCATGGGGATGGATGCCAGCTCCTGGCCTGCCTTGCCCTCAGAGGAGTGAGCTCTGGCCAGACACTGCACCCGGCTCCCAGGGAAAAAGTATATGCTGTCTAGGGTGATGCCACGGGTGCTGTGGACAGGGGGAAGGATGGGTAAGTGAGTGCCTCAAATTCCTCAAATTCTGCATGACCCCTATGGGTTCACTGCTTCCTCATGGGTATATTAATCTACTCACCTGGTGAAGAAGGTGTCAGAGGTAACATCTTTGAGGTTATTGTGCATCTCATGCAGGTGGGCAGGGGCACCCACCTTCCAGTGATATGTGGTGAGGGTGTCATTGATGCCTTCACGCTCACATAGTCCTCCCGTCTTCCTGTACTGTGGGTGTCTGCTGTTGCATGCCTGGGTGTGCCACGGTGATGTGGGACAGGAGGGAAGAAGAAAATGCAATGTGAGTGGATTGATGGGCAGTAGGAGCCATTGAAATATCTGACCAGTCACAAACATGTAAAGTAACAGTAAGAATAAGATAGTAAACAAGAAGATTGGCATTATAAATTAGAAAAGAAGAGGAATGAAAACATAAGCAACTGCTGGAAGGATGATGGGTTATAGTGATATATGATAACTAAAAAGATGAAGAGATATTAAAAATCTCATTGCTGGAGTCTGCAGTGAAGGTCTTCGGGTACAGGAGAGCGGGTGTATACCTGGAGAGGGTTTCGAGGGTCAGTGCCCCCGTGGCCCAGTCTGTGACTAGGCATGGGGTGGGATTAGACACATTAGTCTGGTATGAAGTTTTAAAACTAAAAATTATTTAAGGATGGGGGTGGAGTACATGGAGAAGAGACAAAGAGACTAAAAGAGAGGTGAGGGAGTGAAGATAAATAGATGAAGAAATGGATCACTCATTAGTATATTATTTTTCTGAGTAAAAGGAACAGTCATGGGTCAGGAATATATTATTGTTAGAGAACCAAAATCAAATGAACTTGTCAGTTAATAGTGGAAGTGCTGAAAGTTTGAGTAAGAATGTCTCCGACTGCTTCACCTCACCTGTCTGCAGTGGGTGTTACATCACTTGTTGAATGAGTTGTAATCAGTCTAGAACTAAGCAGTATTAGCTTCAATTCTTTGCAACAAGAGCCCTTCACTGGCATCAACCCCTCCCCCTATTTAAAAGCTCTTACCGTCACACAGACCAATGGGTAGCCTGGGATGGGAACTGGAGCAGTGGAGACCTCATCATAGTCCCTGAGAGAAACCACCACAGGTGGGGCTGGGAATGTTACGCTTGCCACAGAATCCATCTCCTGTGACAAAATCAAATAAGACGCGAGTCATTCATATTTCAACTACATTAGCCCGTATGATGTATATGGTTTAGAAGTCGACAAGCTGAAGAATGAGACACTTGTGCAACATTTGGGAATATATAAAACATTACCACTATAAATAATAAATATTAATGTACTTAAGAGGTGTAAAAATGTATTTAGTACAATTTAATTATAGGTATAAAAATAAGTTGTTTGCATATGCTATTGTTTACCTCGATGTAAACAATGGCTTTGGAGGTAGTGATGGCAGTGCTGGAGCCTCTAAGTGGTTTAAGGTGGACAGTGAAGGCTTCTCGGGGCTCCTTCTCGCTGTCTCCAAGAACTGTCACCCCCATCTCAACTCGAGACACATTGGGAGCAAAAACCACTTCTGTCAGGGGCAAGTAATAGAGGTTAGATGAGGACAGAGGTAAATGGCAGTAAGTAATGGGAAGAATTGAAGTAAATGAGCTAGAAGTGAGGAACAGAAACAGAGGGAGCTAGAAGAAGCCAAGAATAGAAAAAGAGGGAACTAGAAGCAGGAGTGGCAGTTATATAATTTTAACAAATAAAATAGATCTGAAAGGTAATGAGGCAACAACTAAACAAACTTTCCCTTTCATTTTCCTATACAGTGGACCCCCGGTTAACGATATTTTTTCACTCCAGAAGTATGTTCAGGTGCCAGTACTGACCGAATTTGTTCCCATAAGAAATATTGTGAAGTAGATTAGTCCATTTCAGACCCCCAAACATACACATACAAACGCACTTACTTAAATACACTTACATAATTGGTCGCATTCGGAGGTAATCGTTATGCGGGGGTCCACTGTATTCTCTGTATTTTCATTGCTTGATTAACACTTCACTCTAATAAATTTGCAACATCAGTTGGGTTGCAAGAGCATGTAAATATGGTTGCAATGGGACCAATGAAAACTTCTTGTGCTTAGACGAGTCTTATAAAGACTGCTGGGTCAAGCGGTGAAAGATTTGGTTGGCTAGTTTGTCATGGGTTTGATCCCGCCAGTTCCTGGAGACCCAATCATGAGAGGACTCTTACACTTCAAGAATCCAAGAGATTGATAAAGATCTCAGACTCATTAGTTGGTACAATATCTTCCTTCTGTTCATTCTCCAACAACCTAGAAGTTATAAGACTTCTACAGTTTAGCACTTCCTCAAGATATTACAGGGTGTCTCACATGTAGAAGGCCCCCCGAGTTGGTACTTCCGTAATTGTAACTGTCCTGTTTGCATATTATGACTGTAGTAAACAATAACCTGGGGCCTCCTATGAGTGAAACCTGTATTGCTACTAATGACACTAATAATACATGAAGAGAAACCTGCAAGAAATCTTACCTTGGCTGAGGGGAAAGTAATCCTTCCCTGAGGTAGCAGAGCTGTCCTTGGTGTGAAGCCTGAGGGAGACGCTGCTAGAGGTATCACCTCCACGTACCACTCCAAGCTTCACCAACCTCTCTTCCCCTGCTCTCTCTGGCTCCTCCACTATATACCTCGACTCCTCTAGCCCCACTGTGCTCCCTACAGAAAGGAATATAGACAAAGTGTTGAGGAAAGCTATGCAAGAACAGAAGAAGATTGCAGTAGGCCTACTTCAGTTCTTCACTGTTCTGGTGTCTCTTTCAGGGTGGAGCCTTGATGATGGTGAAGGGTTTACCAATCAGACCTGGTGTTACCTGAGGACTGAAGAAGCCACTTGTGACAAAATGTTTCCTCTAATAGATGTCCTGAACTGTACATAAGTATCTTTTTCCCATCTTGATGCATAATTAAATTACATTCCCTGTGAACCTCCTCATTCAAATAACAATAATAATGATAATAATGGTGCTATCTTATATTCTCATCATTCAAAAAGGGCAAATCTAATCTCGGAAACTTTATGTAATTTTTGACAGCATGACGTAAGTGAAAAAAAAAGTGTATTCCCAAATGATGAGCCGATGATGTGACCCCTCTACACCCATCCACACACACACATGATCTACCCATGTGATTTACTTGTTAGGAGGCAAGACAGTGTCTCCTGATCTGACACAGGTCTTAATCAGATGGTGGTATGTTCAGAATCAGATGAAGGAAATATGGAGACTTTTTGGTCCTGGGATTTTGGTCACTCTACTTAATCATTTTGAGTGACCAAGTTACCAGGAATGGAACATATCCAGTGAAGATGTCCTGACTGCACACATTTGTGTTCTCTCATCCATGATCTGTTCAGTGGTTAAGAATCCTCTGGCTTGAATCAGCTAGGTGGAGACAAATGGAGTAAATTGCAAAAATGGAATTTACTAAGACGTTTCGCCTGTGGAGAGGCTTCTCCAATCACTCTTCAGCGTCTCAGTAAAGATCATCTCTGTAACTGTCATTTTCACATCTCCAATTAAATTTTACACCTCATCCATAAAATAAGTTTTTTTCCCTTCCTTACTATCAGCCTTGTCCTTGATGAAGATAGTTGATCTGTCGAGTGTGCCTAGATGTGCCCCTCCTGCTGTGGGAGATGCTGGTGACCCCAGCACTAGGTGAAGTTGCTCATCCTCCTCATGTAGGTGGTCATTAACCACTATGACCTTACACGGCCGCTCCTGTTCCCCTGTTGAAGTGAGTATTTTATATACATTTATGTATATATATTTTTTTTTTTAACAAGTCGGCCATCTCCCGCCGAGGCAGGGTGACCCAAAAAGAAAATACTTTCATCATCATCCAACACTTTCACCTCACTCATACATAATTACTGTATCTTTCTTTCAATGCACCAGCCGCATCCCACCAAGGTGGGGTGGCCCAAAAGGAAAAACAAAAGTTTCTCCTTTTAAATTTAGTAATACTATATACAGGAGAAGGGGTTACTAGCCCCTTGCTCCCGGCATTTTAGTCGCCTTATACGACATGCATAGCTTATGGAGGAAGAATTCTGTTTCACTTCCCCATGGAGATAAAAGGAAATAAACAAGAACAAGAACTAGAAAGAAAATAGAAGAAAACCCAGAGGAGTGTGTATATATATGCTTGTACATGTATGTGTAGTGTGACCTGAGTGTAAGTAGAAGTAGCAAGACGTACCTGAAATCTTGCATGTTTATGAGACAGAAAAACGGACACCAGTAATTCTACCATCATGTAAAACAATTACAGGCTTTCGTTTTACACTCACTTGGCAGGACGGTAATACCTCCCTGGGTGGTTGCTGTCTACCAACCTTCTACCTAGGATAATCACTGTGTATGTATATGTGTATATATATATATATAATATATATATATATATATATATATATATATATATATATATATATATATATATATATATATATGAGAGTATAGTTTTACCAACGCTCTTATATGGGTGTGAAGCGTGGGTGATGAATGTTGCAGCGAGGAGAAGGCTGGAGGCAGTGGAGATGTCATGTCTGAGGGCAATGTGTGGTGTGAATATAATGCAGAGAATTCGTAGTTTGGAAGTTAGGAGGAGGTGCGGGATTACCAAAACTGTTGTCCAGAGGGCTGAGGAAGGGTTGTTGAGGTGGTTCGGACATGTAGAGAGAATGGAGCGAAACAGAATGACTTCAAGAGTGTATCAGTCTGTAGTGGAAGGAAGGCGGGGTAGGGGTCGGCCTAGGAAGGGTTGGAGGGAGGGGGTAAAGGAGGTTTTGTGTGCGAGGGGCTTGGACTTCCAGCAGGCATGCTTGAGCGTGTTTGATAGGAGTGAATGGAGACAAATGGTTTTTAATACTTGACGTGCTGTTGGAGTGTGAGCAAAGTAACATTTATGAAGGGATTCAGGGAAACCGGCAGGCCGGACTTGAGTCCTGGAGATGGGAAGTACAGTGCCTGCACTCTGAAGGAGGGGTGTTAATGTTGCAGTTTAAAAACTGTAGTGTAAAGCACCCTTCTGGCAAGACAGTGATGGAGTGAATGATGGTGAAAGTTTTTCTTTTTCGGGCCACCCTGCCTTGGTGGGAATCGGCCGGTGTGATAATAATAAAAAAAAAAAAAATATATATATATATATATATATATATATATATATATATATATATATATATATATTCTTTCTTCTTTCAACACACCGGCCGTATCCCACCGAGGCAGGGTGGCCCAAAAGGAAAAACGAAAGTTTCTCCTTTTACATTTAGTAATATATACAGGAGAAGAGGTTACTAGCCCCTTGCTCCCGGCATTTTAGTCGCCTCTTACAACACGCATGGCTTACGGAGGAAGAATTCTGTTCCACTTCCCCATGGAGATAAGAGGAAATAAACAAGAATAAGAACTAGAAAGAAAATAGAAGAAAACCCAGAGGGGTGTGTATATATGTGCTTGTACATGTATGTGTAGTGTGACCTGAGTGTAAGTAGAAGTAGCAAGACGTACCTGAAATCTTGCATGTTTATGAGACAGAAAAACGGACACCAGTAATTCTACCATCATGTAAAACAATTACAGGCTTTCGTTTTACACTCACTTGGCAGGACGGTAATACCTCCCTGGGTGGTTGCTGTCTACCAACCTTCTACCTAGGATAATCACTGTGTATGTATATGTGTATATGTGTATATATATATATATATTATATATATATATATATATATATATATATATATATATATATATATATATATATATATATATATATATATATATATATATATATATATATATATATATATATATATACGTATATACAGTGGCCCCTCGACCAACGATGGCATCGATTAACAATAAATCCGACTAGCGATACATTTTAACGCAAAAATTTTGCCTCGACTAGCGCTAAAAAACTCGACCAACACTATTCGTTCCGTCTGAGACGCGTCCACTTCTGGCCAGTATTTACAAGCAAGCCAGCCACCTAAGTCGCTTCCAAGCATACAATCGGAACATTTCATATTATCACAGCCTTTTTAGTGATTGCTCCTGCAAAATAAGTCACCATGGGCCCCAAGAAAGCTTCTAGTGCCAACCCTACAGCAAAAAGGGTGAGAATTACTATGTATATGAAGAAAGAGATCGTTGCTAAATATGAAAGTGGAGTGCGTGTCTCCGAGCTGGCCAGGTTGTACACAAAACCCCAATCAACCATCGCTACTATTGTGGCCAAGAAAACGGCAATCAAGGAAGCTGTTCTTGCCAAAGGTGCAACTATGTTTTCGAAACTGAGATCGCAAGTGATGAACATTAAAATGGTATGAAATACCGACAGATTGTTACCATTTTAATGTTCATTCTGTCAGACACTGCAACACAAGGGTATCTTGGTACAGACCACTTCGACAACCTCTACTAGTGAGAACGGCTGGGTTTGAGAAGGACCTGCCCTCCCAAAGCAACCTACGTCTCACCTCCTGGCACTATATAAAGGCCCCATTCTGTCACTTCAACTTCATATTGTTTCAGACAACGGAACAATGCTCTTCTCCAGACTGAGGGACTGACCACCTCAAAACTTTAAGGGTGATGGACTGATTACATCGTCTTCAAGTATCTTCTGCTTCTATCAACCTTTCTGTACTCGACTGAAGAAGCCTACTGTGTAGGCGAAACGTTTCGAAATAAAGATACCTAACTGTTGCATATGTATCGCAAGTGATAGAAGATGTTGAGAGACTGTTATTGGTGTGGATAAACGAAAAACAGATAGCAGGAGATAGCATCTCTCAAGCGATCATATGTGAAAAGGCTAGGAAGTTGCATGAGGATTTAATTAGAAAAATGCCAGCAACTAGTGGTGATGTGAGTGAATTTAAGGCCAGCAAAGGTTGCTTTGAGAGATTTAAGAATCATAGTGGCATACATAGTGTGATAAGGCATGGTGAGGCTGCCAGTTTGGACCAAAAAGCAGCTGAAAAATATGTGCAGGAATTCAAGGAGTACATAGACAGTGAAGAACTGAAACGTGAACAAGTGTTTAATTGTGACACTGACAATGTTGTGAAACACTTTAGGAATGTCATAAAGGAACGGGAGGTACAGGCCTCTATGGACAGATATGTTGTGCGACAGAGGTCCAGTGACTCTCAAGCAGGTCCTAGTGGCATTAAAAGAAGAAGGGAAGTAACCCTGAAAAAGGACTTGCCACCTCAAGTCCTAATGGAAGGGGATTCCCCTTCTAAACACTAACACCATCAACACTCTCCCCTCCTCCCATCCCATCAATCATCACCAGATCTTCAATAAAGGTAAGTGTCATGTAACTGTGCATGTCAGAAATATATATATATATACACACACGCTATAACAACTGTAAGTAAAAGTTTGTAGGATTTAATTCCACTTTTTCTTAAGACAGGAAGGCAGAAAAACATGAATCCTGCCAGATTGCAAAATGTTTAACTGGCTTAAGTTTGCCTCTTCTGTGACACAAATTTTAAAATAAAAATTGATTTATAATGATCCAAAATTGATTATTTTATGTTCCGAGGCGACTGTAACACTGACGCACTGTCAGGTTCCAGTGGTCAAGAAAATTCACTTACCTATCTATTTACGTCAAACTTTCCATTTTGTAGAGTTACCTGGCAGGAAGTGGACAGTAGAAGTGACAGTGTCAGGTCTCTCCTCGAAGTCGTCAGTGACCAGAGCTGAGCCCTGTCTTGTGAAGCATCTGACATGAATGGAAAATAGAAATAAATAATAATAATAATAATAATAATAATAATAATAATAATAATAATAATAATAATATATGTACAGACCTATAATCTATCGAGTTTCTGTCTCGATGTGGGTTATTACTGAGTGCAACGTATTGGTTGCAGATCAAGCTACTTCAAGTCTATGATACTTGAGAAGTTTGGTCCCCAAGCAATATGTTGCCTCTGTATAGATTTCCATTCTATCATTGTTAATCTTCTATCAGCTTGTAGGCTTCACAACAACCTCTTCTGCAGTTTGAAGACCTACCTGACGGAGGCGTGGTGGGAGAGGTCACCCCTACGGGTGATCCACGCAGTCACCTCCCCGTCACCTTCGTAACCCGAGTACTGCGCCTCACGGAACTCCAGCCTGGGCACTGAGGAGAGATAATAGGCACACTCTCATTGTATACTAATGGTTAAATATACCGACACAGATATTAATAAGACAATATGCAGTTTATGGTGGACTGAGAGTCTGAAAAATGCCAAAAATTGGACTTGTACAATGGAACCCCTGTGTTCGAACGTAAGGAACCTCGAAAAAAACAGAATCCAAACAATTTTGTTCAGAATAAATTGACCCAGTCTTTGAACGTTTTTCTGGAGTCCGAACATGCTGACTTGTTTAAAATTCAGCTGTAAAAATCTTTACAGGAAAGCTCTGTTTTAAAAATGCTTTTAAGTGACCTCTGACACTGACCTGACTCAGATACTTTTGGAAGAGTCAGTTCAACATCCTTCAGTTTGTGAAGCTGATAATTAAAGCCTGAGAAATACTTAATTGGTTCCTAGGTGGTATTTGCAATTCAAACACCACCTAGGAACCAATTAAGTTAAAAATTTGGACTTCCTATTAAATGTATTCTGATTATTTTAGAATTCATCGAATTTGCTGAAAGAAAAAGATCTATACGAAACGCTGTGAAAATATGTTACTAAAATATGCAATGGTAATTAATGTTACAGAATCTATCATGATCCAAAATTTCAAACACATTTAAAAAAAAGTTTAAATCTATTCGGAAGCTTTGTTAAATAAAGTTAAAATTTTTTTATTTTCCTTAAAGACGCTGAATCATGTTTCATTTCACTGTCAGAATCACTACTGACTCACTGTCGGAGAGGGAATCATTAATGGTGACCGTAGCTTGGTGTGGGACTCCCAGGGTGGCATTGCGTGGGAGGTGGAGTATCAGGAGAAGTGTCTCTGGTCCCTCAAGCACTGGCACTCCCAGGTCATCTAGCACTGTCAGTGCCACCTTCTGTACCCTCACACCGGCTGGGAAGTCCACCTGACGACCCACTGCCACGTAGTCATATCCAGCTGGAGAAACAATACAAGTTTATTTCAACATGATACATAACATAAGAAAGATGGAACACTGCAACAGGCCTACTGGCCCAATAATAACCCACATAGAGACAGAAACTCAGGAAATTAATATATCTGTATATTTCAATCCCCTTCAGCAGAAGGAATCACTTGATGAAGAGGAGCCCAGAAAGGGATCGAAATATACTGACCAGTTAATCCTCCAAGTTTGTCTCCATGTGGGATATTATTGAGCATTATTATTATTATTATTATTATTATTATTATTATTATTATTATTATTATTATTATTATTATTATTATTACCTTGTGCCTGGTTAGGACTACGTGTAGCATCTTATGTTTGAGTAGTCCTGAGAGCCTTACCTTGTGCTTGAGTAGGCCTAAGAGTCTTGGATGCCACTTGTACAGATGCAACACATGAGAGGTCAGCACCTGACCTCCACACCTCCACCTCTAGTGATCCAACACTCTCGTCTATGTTGTACTCTGACTCCCTGAAGTACAACACAGGCACTGTTGTGTATAAAAGAAAAGTCCTTGGGATGTTTTTATCTTTATATATGGTTTAATATTCAGAGTAAGAGCCTGTGACGTATCTTAACTCATTTCTAAGCCTTGCGGTGTCTAAAGTTTGGTAAAACTTTCTTGGCTACCACACAACAGTTGATTTTTAACTTACAAAATCTTAATAACATAGTTGAAAACAAATCATGGAATGGGTGGGATTTGAACCAATGGCAAGTGTGTCTTAAGACTCACAGGCCGAGTGGTTAACACACTGGCCTGAATCTTAGGACTTACTTGCCATACCTGGAGTATATCTGGAGAGGAGTTTCAGGGGTCAACGCCCCCATGCCCAGTCTGAGACCAGGCCTCGTGGGGGATCAGGGTATAATCAACCAGGCTGTTACTGCTGTGCTCAATTCCCACCTGTTCCGTGTTTGGTTGGTTAATACCTAGGTACCTATTTATTGTTAGGTGAACAAGAGCACCTAACAGTAAACAGGTACCATGTCTTATTATGTGCCCCAGCAAAAAAGTCATAATTACTAAATATAATTAAGATATAAAACATATAAAGAGATATAAACAGATGAAGAATGTGTACTGCAATACACAAATATGAAAATAACACGAAGAAAAAATCCAGACTAGTGACACTCACCATCCTTGGGGTCGGGTAAGATGGTGACGGTAACATTGGTGGTAGCACCTAGGACGCCGCCCATAGGACTGCTAAGAAAGACACTGAAGGATTCCTCGTCTTCGTGTAGAGAATCATCAATGATGACCACTTTACACACGGCTTCCCGTTCACCATCACCAAACCTGTCAGAGATGATAGTGACCAATGTGAAAACAGCATAGTTTCTCATACCAGATGTAATAATCTCTTATTCTCTACCTAGGTGAGATAATTTATGATTTTGTTTAAAATATATATAATAAATACCTAAACTGTTGTATTCTGAGCACCTCTGCAAAAACAGTGATTATGTGTGAGTGAGGTGAAAGTGTTGAATAATGATTAAAGTATTTTCTTTATGGGGATTTTCTTTTCTTTTTGGGTCACCTTGCTTCGGTGGGAGACGGCCGACTTGTTAAAAAAAAAACTAGGCATACATAAATGCTATAGAGACAAACAGTTTGCAAAAAGAAATGAATGAGAAAAGCATTCTAATGGCCTTTGTGGTGTCTGAATCACATTCTCAAACTGTTTCCATTCCAGTGTTACCTCAGCTCAGTCTATCTTTTCTTTGCACCTGTAAGTTAACTATGAATATTATAAGTAATGAAAATTCTACTTGGATAAGAGGAAAAGTGATAAAAGATTAAGAAAAAAAGATGAAATAAGGAAAATTTATTAGAACCACTGTAAGAGTGAATAAAATAAGCTTTCATAATTGCTGAAAAAAAATTGCAGTGATGAAAATATGCTGGAAAATATCTTTTTCACAGTGGTATGTAGAGGAAAATATTAACAATTTATATAAGAAAAATAATTTCGTGAATTATTGAATATGATACATCAATGAATATTGTTGCTTTTCTGCAACAACAAGAATTTAAGTCCATATATCTCTTTTTTATTTTCTAATCACTATTCTCACCATGACTCACCTGACCATGGAGGCAGGACCATCAGGACGAGAGATGTAGTCGGAATAGGAGAGCACAGTCGTTGGCACTGTCCCTGTGGCACTGCCTGAAACGAGGGACACATTAGCACCCTTTGTTGTGAGCTCAGATTCTCTGACACAAGGAGTGAGCTGAGGCTGTATTGATGAACCTATCTAAGGAGATTATCACCAGGATAATTCATTATTGTCAATAAAGAAAAAATATGTTGCAAATGATTTAGAAAACTGACAAGTTGAAGAATGAGATACTTGTGCAGTATTTGGGAATTATTAATGAGGAAACGTGTCGCCCAGCTAGTGACTGCTTCAGTCCATTGTTGAGCAAAATGGTGGAAGATAATTTTGAAAAAGGAAAAGGCAGACTTGGGACAGTGGAAAAGAACCTATGGAAATGGCAGAGGGAGGAGAAAGAAAAAGTACTGCAGCAGGCCTACTGGTCCATACTAGGCAGGTCTTTCTCCCAAGGTAGAGTGAGGGGGGGGATAGGAAGAGGAACTATGAGACCATGGCACTGAATGAGTGACCAAGGCACTGAGTGAGGGGTGTGGCACTCACCATGATGTGGAGTAGTGTGTGTCGTGCAGGCGACAACTAACTCGTGGGAGGCGTCACCTCGACGTACAAGACGCAGTTCCACCTCCCCAGCGTCTTCCTCGACGTGGGACTTGCCGACGTCGAACTCCACATGACTCACTGTCAGGAAACATGTCCTAATTACTATCAGGCCTTCAATAATGTCAGGTCATCAGTACTGTCAGGTTGTCAGTACTGTATTTTACCGAGCTTGAAGAAACAGTAACTAGCTAGTCATTAACTGAAAATATAATGTAAACATAACTAAACCCAGAACAAAAATAATTTTGTGATAGTAATGGATAATTATACTTAACTGAATGTAATTTTGGAAAAAAAAATTGAGATGTTTGGGTCCAGGAGGAACCATAATGTCGTCTAGTGCTTCTTTTCCGAAAAGAAGAAAAAGGCACAGTATCTTAACTGGAAAAATACACAAATAACCCGCACATAGGATGATTCTGTCTGACTTGGACTAGTGATTGATCACACATTGTGTTTTTGTTCACTGTTTCCTCTCCAAGTTATGGGTTAGATATGTGTTTAACTTACCATCCTCGTCATCACGGATAATAATGAGGGCTTGTAAGGGGGATTCCAAGGCAGTCATGACCGGGTAACGCAGAGTCAGGGTAAGGTATTCAGTGCCTTCAAACAAAGCATCGTCCACTACCCTGGCTCGCCACTCTGCAGATCTCTGCCCTGGGTTGAATTGTACCTGACGAGCGTAGGAACGGTGGAGGTCCTCCTCGACGCTCGCTGTGTCGTTCCACAGCTGTAGGGCTGTACGAAATAAATGGAGGTCGGTAGAGTTTATTGATATGGTGGATGGTAGAATTTACTGATAGGAGGATAATAGAATTTGTTGATATGTAGTAGGGTGGTGGCTCATACGTTGGATTGCGTGCAGCCAGCAGTAACAGCCTGGTTGACCAGGCTCTGATCCACCAGGAGGCCTGGTCACAGACCGGGCCGTGGGGGCGTTGACCCCCGGAACTCTCTCCAGGTAAACTCCAGGAGGATGGTAGAATTTGTTGATAGTAGTGTGGTAGAATTTACTGACAGGAGGATGGTAGAATTTACTGATAAGAGGATGGTAGAATTTACTGATAGGAGGATGGTAGAATTTACTGATAGGAGGATGGTAGAATTTACTGACAGGAGGATGGTAGAATTTACTGATAAGAGGATGGTAGAATTTACTGATAGGACGATGAGAGAATTTACTGATAGGAGGATGGTAGAATTTACCGATAGTAGGGTGGTAGAATTTACTGATAGGAGGATGGTAGAATTTACTGATAGGACGATGGTAGAATTTACTGATAGGTCGATGGTAGAATTTACTGATAGGAGGATGGTAAAATTTGTTGATAGTACGGTGGTAGAATTTACTGATAGGAGAATGGTAGAATTTATTAATAGGAGGGTGGGAGAATTTATGTAGATGTGGGAGAGGAGGGCGTTACGGAGGACGTAGAGGGTTAAATGTCTAGGCGTAAATATAAACTTATTTAAAAATAAACCAGCCTAAGCCCACTCATTCCTGGTAAACTCAAACCCAAATTGTTAAACAGGTGGCCAGTACTTTAGATTTGATTATCAGAAAGAACAGATAAACTCAACTTTAGAAAAAATTATGTATATAGTCTACATAATATATACAACACAAAAACCTGCCTTCAGCACATTTTACAAATTACAAAATAACATACTGGTACACTGTTACTAGTTATATAACCTTAGGACATAAAAATTACACATACCATCCCCTCTATGATGGCTACCAGACTGCAGGTTAAAAGCTATTACTTCTGTGCTCACAACTCACACATGCCCCACATAAATACCAAGGTCATGCCCATTCCATGGCCCACTTAAAAGTACAAGCAAACACCTCCCCCCCCCCCAAAAAAAAACGCGACCTAAGTATTACAACAATAAAAATCACCACACACACTACTTAACCTGCCTCCATGACATCTTCCCAGAGACTTATCACGCCACAGTGAACCATACATGTACGTCTCACTCAGTTGTCTATACGTGTCCAACTGTGTCTAATACGTGTCCACTTTTAAAGACTGACCGGCTTTGTCAAACCGGTTTCACAAAATTCACAAAATTCTGCCATTAATCTTTGATTTACCTAATTCAGAATGATACTCGCTTAAATAAGTTTTATGAGGAACAAATCAGATGTACGGATAGGGATAGTATACCCGGAGAGAGTATTGGGGAGTCAATGCCCCCGCGACTCGGTCTGAGACCAGGCCTCGTGGTGGCTCAGGGTCTGATCAACCAGGCTGTTACTGCTAGCCGCACGCAAACTGAAGTACGGACCATGGCCCGGCTGGTCAGGTACTGACTTTAGGTGCCTGTCCAGTGCCTGCTTGAAGACAGTGTGGTGATGTTTATCTTACACTTTCTAGAATTACTTGGACACAGTGTTTGCTGAGATTATTATTATACTCACGAGGAGGTGCTTATCTCGTTGAGGTCATTCAGAGGAGAAGGAATGGGAGGTAAACAGGTTTAGCTTCTGTCAGGAGACGATGGCTACAAGATCAAGGGGATTTTACAGCATCAAGGCACACACACACAGGAGCTATGAAACGACTCCTGCAACCACAATTAGGTGAGTACACACACACACAAGGTGTGTGTGTACTCACCTATTTGTGGTTGCAGGGGTCGATTCGTAGCTCCTGGCCCCGCCTCTCCGCTGATTGCTACTAGGTCCTCTCTCTCCCTGCCTCATGAGCTTTATCATACCTCGCCTTAAAACTATGTATGGTTCCCGCCTCCACTATGTCACTTTCTAGGCTATTCCACTGCCTGACTACTCTATGACTGAAGAAATACCTCCTAACATCCCTTTGATTCATCTGAGTCTTCAGCTTCCAATTGTGACCTCTTGTGTCTGTGTCCCATCTCTGGAACATCCCGTCTTTGTCCACCTTGCCTATTCCGCGCAGTATTTTATATGTCGTTATCATGTCTCCCCTGACCCTCTTGTCCTCCAGTGTCGTCAGGCCGATTTCCCTCAACCTTTCATCGTAGGACAATCCCCGTAGCTCTGGGACTAGTCTTGTTGCAAACCTTTGCACTTTCTCTAATTTCTTGACGTGCTTGGCTAGGTGTGGATTCCAAACTGGTGCTGCATACTCCAGTATTGGCCTGACGTAAATGGTATACAGAGTCTTAAACGAATCCTTACTGAGGTATCGGAACGCTATCCGTAGGTTTGCCAGGCGCCCGTATGCTGCAGCAGTTATCTGATTGATGTGCGCCTCAGGAGATATGCTCGGTGTTATACTTACCCCCAGATCTTTTTCCTTGAGTGAGGTTTGCAGTCTTTGGCCATATAAACTATATTGTCTCTGCGGTCTTCTTTGCCCTTCCCCAATCTTCATGACTTTGCATTTGGCAGGGTTAAACTCAAGGAGCCAGTTGCTGGACCAGGCTTGCAGCCTGTCCAGGTCTCTTTGTAGTCCTGCCTGATCCTCGTCCGATTTGATTCTTCTCATTAACTTCACATCATCTGCAAACAAGGAAACTTCTGAGTCTATCCCTTCCGTGTGTGTGTGTGTGTGTGTGTGTGTGTGTGTGTGTGTGTGTGTGTGTGTGTGTGTGTGTGTGTGTGTGTGTGTGTGTGTGTGTCGTGCGTGTGTGTGTGTGTGTGTGTGTGTGTGTGTGTGTGTGTGTGTGTGTGTGTGTGCGTGTGTGTGTGTGTGTGTGTGTGTGTGTGTGTGTGTGTGTGTGTGTGTGTGTGTGTGTGTGTGTGTGTGTGTGTGTGTGTGTGTGTGTGTGTGTGTGTGTGTGTGTGTGTGTGTGTGTGTGTGTGTGTGTACTCACCTAATTGTGGTTGAAGGGGTCGAGACTCAGCTCCTGTGTATGTGTGTTTATGTGTGTGTGTGTGTTTGTGTGTGTATGTCTCTCTCTCTCTCTCTCTCTCTCTCTCTCTCTCTCTCTCTCTCTCTCTCTCTCTCTCTCTCTCTCTCTCTCTCTCGTGTGTGTGTGTGTGTGTGTGTGTGTGTGTGTGTGTGTGATGAGTCAAAGGGATGGTAGGAAGTATTTCTTCAGACAGAGTTGTTAGGAAGTGGAATAGTCTGGCAAGTGATGTAGTGGAGGCAGGAGCCATACATAGTTTTAAGACGAGGTACAATAAAGCTCATGGAGCAGGGAAAGGGAGAACCCAGTAGCGGTCAGTGAAGAGGCGGGGCCAGGAGCTGAGTATCGACCCCTGCAACCACAGTTAGGTGAGTACATACACACACATACACACACGGGGCCAGGAGCTGTGATTCGACACTTGCAACCGCAACTAGGTGAGTACACACACACACAAGAGAGGTAAAGACACTCACTAACGAAGGCAGTATGACCAAGGAAACCGCGTCTCCTGAGGGTGACATGGAGGTCAGAGGTCGTCTCGTTGACCTCAAACTCAGCCTTGGCAAGACTCACCCACGACCACTCCAGCCGGAACACCTGGGTACTCATCCGATTCTCACCTGCACAAAAAAAAAAAAATCAGATGAAATAAATGACTCCTTGAGTATATCAATTATTACCCAACAGTAACTGCAAGTAATATCAGTATATCAGTACAGTGATGCCAACCTGGGGCAATACTTACCTTATTTTCCGTCATATAAGGCTCATTTTTCCCCATAAAAAGGTGTTGGAAAATCAGCCTGCGCCTTATATGCTCAATGTCATTGTAAAGGGTAGGGTTGGGGTTACGCTTCAGCAGGTGTTTACTAACATTACGTTACAATTGCTTAGAAACGGCTAGCTAACAAGCAGCCGACACTCGTGCGCCTTATATGCCGGAAAATACGGTATAATCCTCCGTATTTTAGGAAGAGAGCGTTGACTTGGTTTGATGAGGAGTGTCAGATCACGGGTCTGAGACCCAAGTGTTTAAACTAGGTCTTGGGCTCGTTTCTATGCACCCAGTCAATCTTCATGATATTTTTTTCGAATAATTTTTACAATGCTGATCGATGGCATGAACGAACCCTCATGATATATTATTATTATTATTATTATTATTATTATTATTATTATTATTATTATTATTATTATTATTATTATTATTATTATTATTTATTTTGTTATTATTTTATAAACTAGGGTGTTGTGGTGACTCGAACTGATGGCATGTCATGTCATGTCATGTCATGTCATGTCAGTCATGTCATGTCACGTCATGTCAAAACTTCCACTCTACCGCATATGTCATAAGTTCCGCGTGGATCATCAAGGGGGAGGCTAGTGAAGGCTCCATCTCCTGTCCCTTAACGCCAAGAGACACACTGCCTAGTTGTACTCTATTTCGAACCCGCACAGAGGCCCTCTTCAGTAGAATGAAACATGTACAAGGGAGGTATCCCTCTGAACTTCATGAATTTTCTGCATGTAAATCTTATTTTTGTTAACATAGTTTTCTGAAATACGACTTGATTCTACACCACCAACTGTATTTAAATTAGTATGCAAATTTTGTCTAATATATTGATATACAGTTATTAAGTTGGTATACACTTGTTTATTTAGGATGCAAAACTCAGCAACTGGCCTAGCTTAGGTCGTTCGTGGTCGTATGGTCGTTTGTGGTGATCGTGTGGTCATTTGTGGTGATCGTGTGGTCGTTTGTGGTGATCGTGTGGTCGTTTGTGGTGATCGTATGGTCGTTTGTGGTGATCGTTTAGCTATTTGTGGTGATCGTTTAGCTATTTGTGGTGATCTTGTGGTCGTTTGTGGTGATCGTATGGTCGTTTGTGGTGATCGTGTGGTCGTTTGTGGTGATCGTGTGGTCGTTTGTGGTGATCGTATGGTCGTTTGTGGTGATCGTGTGGTCGTTTGTGGTGATCGTGTGGTCGTTTGTGGTGATCGTGTGGTCGTTTGTGGTGATCGTATGGTCGTTTGTGGTGATCGTGAGGTCGCGTTTTATCCTGTGGTCGTTTGTGGTGATCGTTTAGCTATTTGTGGTGATCTTGTGGTCGTTCGTGGTGATCGTATGGTCGTTTGTGGTGGTCGTGCGGTTGTTTGTGGTGATCGTGTGGTCGTTTGTCGTGATCATATGGTCGTTTGTGATCAAATGGTCGTTTTTGGTGATCGTATGGTCGTTTGTGGTGATCGTATGGTCGTTCGTGGTGATCGTATGGTCGTCTGTGGTGATCATATAGTCGTTTGTGGTGATAGTATGGTCGTTTGTGGTGATCATATGGTCGTTTGTGGTGATCGTATGGTTGTTCGTGGTGATCGTATGGTTGTTTGTGGTGATCGTATGGTCGTTTGTGGTGATCGTATGGTCGTTCGTGGTGATCGTATGGTCGTCTGTGGTGATCATATAGTCGTTTGTGGTGATAGTATGGTCGTTTGTGGTGATCATATGGTCGTTTGTGGTGATCGTATGGTTGTTCGTGGTGATCGTATGGTCGTTTGTGGTGATCGTATGGTCGTTCGTGGTGATCGTATGGTCGTCTGTGGTGATCGTATGGTCGTCTGTGGTGATCATATGGTCGTTTGTGGTGATAGTATGGTCGTTTGTGATCATATGGTCGTTTGTGGTGATCGTGTGGTTGTTCGTGGTGATCGTATGGTCGTTCGTGGTGATCGTATGGTCGTTCGTGGTGATCGTATGGTCGTTCGTGGTGATCGTATGGTTGTTCGTGGTGATCGTATGGTCCTTCGTGGTGATCGTATGGTCGTTCGTGGTGATCATATGGTTGTTCGTGGTGATCGTATGGTCGTTCGTGGTGATCGTATGGTTGTTCGTGGTGATCGTATGGTTGTTCGTGGTGATCGTATGGTTGTTCGTGGTGATCGTATGGTCGTTCGTGGTGATCGTATGGTCGTTCGTGGTGATCGTATGGTCGTTCGTGGTGATCATATGGTTGTTCGTGGTGATCGTATGGTTGTTCGTGGTGATCGTATGGTTGTTCGTGGTGATCGTATGGTTGTTCGTGGTGATCGTATGGTCGTTCGTGGTGATCATATGGTTGTTCGTGGTGACCGTATGGTTGTTCGTGGTGATCGTATGGTTGTTCGTGGTGATCGTATGGTTGTTCGTGGTGATCGTATGGTTGTTCGTGGTGATCGTATGGTTGTTCGTGGTGATCGTATGGTTGTTCGTGGTGACCGTATGGTTGTTCGTGGTGATCGTATGGTTGTTCGTGGTGATCGTATGGTTGTTCGTGGTGATCGTATGGTCGTTCGTGGTGATCGTATGGTCCTTCGTGGTGATCGTATGGTCATTTGTGGCGATTATAATTATTATAATCACAACTAAGCGTTAAACCCACAAGGGTCATACAGCTCTGTCGTAATTAGGGGAATATTCCCTTGCTAGGAAAAAAAAAAATCACATTATTAATATAATCTAAAAAAAAGAAAAAGAAGCGCTAAACCCACTAGGGTCATACACCGCTACAAAGAAAGAGAAGGTCACAATACCTAGGCTTGAAGAACTCAAAATTTTGAGTGGAGACTTAAAATGAGTTTTCAGTCTTCTATATCGTTATTGACTTGATAATGGTCCAGAAACTACCGAAACGATGTCTAATTTGACCTTTCCAAACTGAGGGTTAGTTATAATTTTATCTACTACCTTCTTCCCCATAAGTTTTTTTTCCATTAATTAGCTAAGTCACAACAACTGCACAGCTTCGTCAACATGCACGGCAGCTGTCACTCATCCTCACCTGCGTCCACGACGCTGAAGCTGAAGGCGTCGTTGGTGTCGTTCACGTCGTTTCTTAAGAGGTAAGCGACGCGACGCTCGTTCACATCCTCTGCAGGACAACGACGTAAGATGTTAGTTCACTGCCCTGTAGAAGCGACGTGTCGCCCACTGGAGCAAGGGACTCTGTTTTCTAGGTAAAAGGGCACAAGTGTAACTCATGCGACATTTCATTGTGACAACGTTTCGCTCTCCAGAAGCTTTGTCAAGCATAACGGCTTGACAAAGCACCTGGAGAGCGAAACGTTGCCACAGTAAAATGTCGCATGAGTTGCGCTTGTGTCCTTTTACCCAACATATTGTCGGTAATTTTACCAACATTAATAAAACTATGGAACAATATTATGTTCATTTCCACGTGCAGAACTGAACTGTTCTCGTACTCACATCTTTAAGAGCGAAATGTTCATCTCCTATGCCGAACATTATCATTACACAAATAACTCCTACACAGAAGAAGCTTATAACAACGTGTCGGTTCGATTTGGACTATTGACAAGTCACACTAAGACACGAGGAAGAGGGAGCAAGTATGTAAGGGAGAGGGAGAACAGGGGCGGGATAAGAGAGGAAGACTGAAGTAAGTGGAGAAGTAGTGATAGAGGTAATCCTGGTAGAGGAAGCATGGAGAGCACTAAACCCCTAGGGATCATAGTGTCTGGGGAAATGGACATTCGGCTTCAATCTTAGGAAGGGGAGCGCAAATCCAATTCCATATATCAACAGGTGCCCGGTGGCCTGGTGGCTAAAGCTCCCGCTTCACACACGGAGGGCCCGGGTTCGATTCCAGGCGGGTGGAAACATTTCGACACGTTTCCTTACACCTGTTGTCCTGTTCACCTAGCAGCAAATAGGTACCTGGGTGTTAGTCGACTGGTGTGGGTCGCATCCTGGGGGACAAGATTAAGGACCCCAATGGAAATAAGTTAGACAGTCCTCGATGACGCACTGACTTTCTTGGGTTATCCTGGGTGGCTAACCCTCCGGGGTTAAAAATCCGAACGAAATCTTATCTTATCTTATCTTAAGAGCTCCCTCACCGGCATCAAGGAACCTATCTTGAGAGATGAAGGCCTCTGTAGCCGAGCAACGCGTTGAGAAGTGTACATTTCTGGGTACACACAGTGTAGTTCATATTTTAGTGTGTGTACAATGAAAGATATTCAGAAAAGACGTATATGAAACGGTTCAGGACATTCGAAGAAATATTTCATCACGAGTGACTTCTTCAGTCCTAAATATATACCCATCTGCTCCTGAGGTAACTTGCACAGGCTGAACACGGGATGCACGATGTTGATTCGGTAGCTAATAGACTTCAGGTGGAGCTGCGCTAATGGACGTTGAGGCTTTAGATAACGTGTGGTTGTAACTCTCGCTGCTGCCTGTCTTCACCTGGGAAATAACGAGCGTATTATTCCCAAGGAATGAGGCGTTCCCGGTGCTGCCAAGTGCTGCAGATAATGCCAGAAAAGCTGTTTCTACACGTTCCTTCTGCCAAATTGGGCTGTACTACACGAGAAGTTTTGGCACCGCTGTATTAAAAATAATTTTCCACACGTGGCTATTAAAAAACTCTACCGAACTCTTACCTGAAGGATTTAATTGAATGAGTGGAAGCTTCGAAGTAAGGTGAATCTTACGCTCTTCCTGACATACAATTGTTCCATCTAAGGAGAGTATCTGATGTCTGTATATGGGCAGCTTCTTCCTGATAAGTGTGACTTCTAATAAAAGGCCGCCATTATCTCAAACCTTCTTATGCAGAGGCATGATTGTTTTTATAAAGGTTTATTTGCATATTTTGAAGCGTGTTGCTGAGGCTGCCTGATAAGGACCTCACTCCTGGATAATATGCCATTTGAGCTAATGACATTTTCATGCTAAAGTCTGACTATACATAGATGGGTGAGGTTTCCTCTAATAGCGTAGTGGGAGGGATACATCTGAACTAACTTTTGGCTGATAAATAAGTCACGTATGAAACAGTTAGGTAACTTTATTTCGAAACTTCTCGCCTACACAGTAGGCGTCATCACCTCTGGCACCGAGATACCCTAAGAAAACCCGGAATATGACTGTAAACATACGGAGAAGTGGATTTTTGAAAATGAAAGTGGATGGTTCACTGATTCCCCCAGTCTAACCTATACCTTTCCCAATTCTTTTTTTTTATATATACTACTCCAGTCTCCCTTCCCACCTCCTTGCCAAGACTATGATCAACAGAAGTGTTCTTTCTAGACTAGGGTTGCAGAACACTGACTGTGTTCAGTCTTGTGAAAGAGCCTGAGAATGACTCAGTAGTGATGCTGTATGAGCCTCGAGCCTGTCTTCTTAAAAAACAAAAAGGCAGAATATCATGACTAGACCAATACACAAATAACCCGCAGACAGGAGCCCATGTTAACCTCCCTATGATATATAATATACCTAGTTGGATGAATCTTATTGTAGCCAGTTGGCCTAGTGGCTTACGCACTGGTCTGGAGTTTTACGACTTACTTGCCATGAGTTCTAACCTCACCCGTACAGTGGTTAGGAGAGAGAAGCTTATGACGTCGTTCACAAGTGTGACTTTGTAAATGGTCCAAATCGGACCGAAACGTAGTCGTCAGCTTCTCTCTCCTATGCGAGTTATTTGTGCCTGTCTTCTTTTTCGTGTTCACGGTTAAAACAATTACCCAAAGTGTAAGACAGCTGCCACAACAATACTGGTGACCCGAGACCTTAACCAGGTGGTGACACTGATGGTGCCACTGGCGGTGCTACCAGAGCCACAACACTAGATAAAAACAGTGCCAAGACAGCTAATGATGGCCTAGCACGGTGGAGAGAGGTCTGGGAAGGGTTGTAAAGCATCAACTAATGTGTTTTCGTGATGGGAGGTAAGGAAATGAGAGCGATTGTATGTTTACAAGTGTACCCCTGCAGTACTTACTACTCTCCTGGTCATGTTTCTAGGGTGGCCCCTGCCTCTTAACTTGCTATGACAGGGAAACATTCATTGCTAACCGTGTGAATTTACATCTATTCCTACAGCAGTGTATAAAATCTGTCTACTACTTCTTCAACCAGATCATTCCACTTTCTGACTTCCTTTAGCTGAAGAAATATTTCCTGACAACCCTGTGGCTCATCAGTGTTTAAATTCCAATTGTGCCCTTGTGAACCCGTTTCCCACCTTCAGAATCCATTCAGGCATTTTTATGAAGCTCTCTGAGTGTCTTGCATGTCTTTAATATGTTTCCCCTGGGCCTTCTGTCCTCTAGTGTCATGATTTTAGCCTCTCATAGATTTTTTCATTGAGCTCTGGTATTAGTCTTGTATCAAACCTCTGCACTCTACTTTCTTAGCATGGTTTATCAGGTGAGGGGGCTCCAAGCTGGTGCTGCATACTCGAAGATGGGCCTTAAATATGTTGTATAGAGTCACGAATAACTCTTTGGTGAGATTACTGAAAGATAATCTTAGATTCGCTTAACACGCAGAGGTTACACTGTTGATGTGATTCTCTCGCAAGATCCTCGGCACTATTATCCTCAGTTGATGGAGATAAATATAAACAGAGACGGGAAAGCAGTTAAAAAGGAAGACAGTTTGCAAATAAGAGCCACAAAATTACGAAGCCAAAAAGTTAGAGGAAGAGAGGACGGTAGCAACATAATTGAGACAAAGAGCACAAAGAGGCACAATACATTTACAAAGTTACACTGTGTGACTTTGTAAATGGTCCAAGTCGGACCGAAACGTTGTCGTCAGCTTCTCTCTCCCATTTGCGGGTTGTGTATAGAGACAAAAAACAGTGTACATAACAGACACATGGAAGATGTTCCCGTCGAGAGTCCTCTGCACCTGCACTCTATAAACATTGTGGGTGCAGCCTTGATACAGCCACGGCCGCCTTTCTTATTACGTACGATCACGTCAGGGGTCATACATCAGACCTCACGCTACGCCCACTACTATAATCTCTAAATGTTATCTAGATTATCAACGGCAGAGCGTGTAATTAAACTTTTGGGCAGCAATAAATAAGAGATATAGTAACCGGTTTCATCCTACTTGGAAAACTGGACGATTACTCTCAAAACTTGTCCGCTCTGGCTTATATGGAATGCAAAGTTTTTTTTTTCCTGGTGATTAAATTATAAGATCAGTAATTAAGAGAGAATTGCCTCTCTCAGTGTATGTACGCTGAGAAATACACGCCTCTCAGTGTAAATATACTGAGATGCTCTACTGTGTAGACGCACATGAGCGCCTTTCACTGTATGTATACTGAGATCCACACCTCTCAGTGTATATATACTGAGATCCACACCTCTCAGTGTATATATACTGAGATCCACACCTCTCGGTGTATATATACTGGGATCTACACCTCTCAGTGTATATATACTGAGATCCACACCTCTCAGTGTATGTATACTGGGATCCACACCTCTCAGTGTATATATACTGAGATCCACACCTCTCAGTGTATATATACTGAGATCCACACCTCTCAGTGTATATATACTGGGATCCACACCTCTCAGTGTATATATACTGGGATCCACACCTCTCAGTGTATATATACTGGGATCCACACCTCTCAGTGTATATATACTGGGATCCACACCTCTCAGTGTATATACACTGGGATCCACACCTCTCAGTATGTATACCCATCTACCTTTTCGGGAAAATAAAAATCGAGAAAAAACCAAGAATACACAAATTAACGGCTAAACCCGAAAAGGGTCATACAGAGATGCACACACACAAAAAAAAAGAGGTAAAAAAATATATATATTTAAGACGATGAACATTAATTACAAAGACGGACAAAAAACAGGAAAGTCACTCTTAAACTCTAAAGAAAACGGAGGTTTAGACTATAATAATAATCTTCATTTTCACAAGCTTGTTATGCTGTGCGTTTCGGGCAAATTAGGTCAATTTTGTCCCCAGGATGCGACACACACCAGCCCATTAACACCCAGGTACCTATTTTAGTGCTAAGTGAACATGAACAATAGGTGCCTTAAGAAAACACGCCCTGAAGTT